GTGCCACCACCGCCCGGCAAAATCCTCTCTCTTAACAGACAGGTGTGGGGGTGAGGAAGGTATCTCTCTGTGTGATCCTGGTTCTCATGATTTCAGTTTCTTCACACCACAACACCTCGTCATGATGGACTGAAACCTCAGAAACCATGGGCTAAAATAAATACTTTTCTCCATTTTTTTTTCCCCTTCGAGACGGGGTTTCCCTGTGTAGCCCTGGCTGTCCTGGAACTCGCTCTGTAGACTAAGCTGGCCTCAAAGTCACAGAGGTCCACCCACCGCTGCATTTCCGAGTGCTGGAAATAAAGGTGTGCACCACCATAGTCTGGATATTTTTCTCAAGTATTTGTTTAAAAAAAAGAGGGGGGTGGGGATTTATCTCAGTGGTAGAGTGCTTGCCTAGCAAGCACAAGGCCCTGAGTTCGGTCCTCAGCTCCAAAAAAAAAAAAAAAAAAAAAGACAAACGTTTGACACAGTAGGCAAGCACTCTATCACTAGACTGTAATCAATCCAATCCCCCACTGTTTGTTTTTCTCATGAGTTTTATAATTTTTGTTCTCACAGTCAAGTCTTTGATTCAATTTTTATGTATGCTATGAAAAATAGCTAAAGAATGGATTAAGAAAATGTGGTACATATACACAATGGAGTACTACTCAGCAGAGAAAAACAATGGCATCATGAACTTTGCAGGCAAATGGATGGAACTAGAAAATATCATCCTGAGTGAGGTAACCCAGACCCAGAAGGACAAAAATGGTATGTACTCACTCATAAGTGGATACTAGATATAAAGCAAAGAACAATCAGACTAAAACCCACAGATCCAGGGAGGCTACATAGCAGGGGGACCCTAGAATCACAGGGCAAGCATCAGTGAAACATTTCACTATTAGGATAAGAATTTGTACTGTATCAAGCTGATGATAGAAAAATAATAATAAAAAAAGAGAAACAGCATTTTTTCAAAGTTTATTTTTCACTGTACAAGACTTCATCTTATTTCGTATTGCTCATCTCCCCGCCCCATATCACCCTGACCTGTCTTTCCTTTTTAAACGGGTTTGGCTGCAATCTACAGCAAGAAATGCTTTTGGTGAACCAACCCAGTACACACGGCCACTCACGAGTCTGTGCTCCAAAATGACATCCCCGGAAAAGCTACACTGTTATGAAAGCCCATCACCCTGATTATCCTTTCTTCCTGCCCCTTCCTTCCCCTCCTTGGGGTTTTCTTTTTAGTATTATTTTTATTTATTTATTCATTTACATTTATTTATTTATTTATTTTTGTTTGTTTGTTTTCCGAGACAGGGTTTCTCTTGTGTAGATTTGCGCCTTTCCTGGAACTCACTTGGTAGCCCAGGCTGGCCTCGAACTCACAGAGATCCGCCTGCCTCTGCCTCCC